CTCGCTTAGCCGTTACTTAATTTTATTATTTTAAAGGCTGTAAAAAGGCTGTGGACGCTCCATCTTGCTTAATTACGGCGCAGGCTTACGCCGGCTCAGGGCGAGCTTACTCTAATTACGCCTAAAAACAAAAACCCAACAAAGGGAAGGGAATTTATTCTCTAATTTCTCAGCCCAAGCTATAGAATTAAAAATATAACTCCGACGTCCATTGTTGGTGGTATTTTAATCAAAATCCAAGTTCTTGAGATTACGCGGAGATGTGAGGTGCTATTTATTTTCAAGTGCTTCTAAATTAGCTTGCGTTGGAGCGGGCCAGTGCAGTCCGCGCACCACGATTTACAGAAAAAAAACTTGTATTCTATTCTTTATCCAAATGTAATAAAGTGTGTTCATATTTTCATTTACTTTTATAAATCTAATGTCAAAACATAATCATGTAGAAAATCGCAGAAAATGTATTTAATTAAAAAGAAATTATTAAAAAGGTAACACCTCTAAGAATAGAGTATTCTTAACAACAAGTAAAATAATGTGAAGTGCTTATATTTCCTAAACAATATATTAGAATGCATCGCGAGACATGTCAGAGGGCTATTTATATTGTGGAATGGGCTGCGGATCTGGCGACCATTAATATGGCGGTCAGCGGAGCGGCGCTGAAGAGGGATATCGGCCCAATGAGAGGATCGACACTGAAAAATGATATGCGGGAGAGGTCTGCAGGTGCGGGACTGATAGCGCCCTCTGTCGCCCACTCGACACTCTGTCGGCAGTTTGCTTACGCGGTAGAGGGAAAATATGATTAATGTATCAATGTTTATTGCTTCACAATATTGTTAGTGACTTCCAAATCTAAACGTAAATTCACATAATTTTGTAAAAACACATAAATTGTGTTAAACTGGTCAAGAATGCGGAGAGTAGTATAGCGTTGTCTACAATTATATCCGAATATATTCTTATTTACTTTTTTACTGTTTACTTTATATTCCGTGTGCTCGTCCACTCTACAATCTACAACTTCCCCGGCCGGTGTCCGTTAACGGCTAATTTATTCATAATATTATAACAAAATACCATTTTCCCGACGACGCGGCCTAGTTTTTATCCCGGCAGCGCCCCGGGGACAGCTAAATGTGAACTGGAGTCGAGGCCGGGGATAATGGCCAGTTTGTAAATAAATAACAAGTAACAGATGTAGACATCGGCCATCCCCCCGCGCCCCGCGCCCCGCGCCCCGCAGCCGCTTCCCACGCCCTGCACGTACTACATTTGAATTTTATTCGAATACTTTGAAATTTAGTCCCCGGGAGGCACTGAAAATGTTTATGAAGCTTAGATTTTCTGGTTATTCCAGGTAGCGGTGCGGCCTACACCGACGGTGAAATATCCAATTTTCAATCACGCTCACGGCATTGCCCT